CCAACCATGCAAGTGACCAAGTGACAAAACTAATAATGAAAATAGTCATAAGTTATGAGACTAGAATTCTAAATCTCTCTTATTTTTTCTGAAAGGAAATCTCTCTTTTAATTGAAAAACCAAGAAAGATGTCTTTAAGATTATCATGAACGAAGACAAATACCTTGCAAGTCAAAAAGTCAAGAGGAGTTTTTTTAGATAATCTTCATATTCATCATCTATTATAAACGAAGGTTTTGATGAATATTTAAGAACATTATAATGTGTTAAAAAACAAAGCTAGAGAGGATTGTCAATAAAACAATGTTCAGTCAAAACAATGCATGAAGAAAGAGAGGTGCACTTAGATATGGCAACAGGGCGGATCGAGGACAGTTACACATATAATCATATCACACCGTTAGATAATTTTCCCGCACCGTAATCACTCCATTACCCAACGGGTAATTTTTATTCAAACCATAACCGCCCCAACGGGTAACAGAGATAACCGCAGGTAACCGCTTCATTGAATAAGTCATTGATATTTTAATATAAAAATTATTATTTTAAAAGGCGAAAATTGGCATCACCTAGTCAACTGTAGACGTCAAACGAAACTTAAGTGTTTCGTTACTTTCGTATATTTACTAGACGATATAGAATACAACCTAAATTAATTTGAACCTAAAAATACTTGACCTGAATGCAATTAATCATGAAAAATATATGATAATAATTAAACAAGGCTATTAAAATCTATAATGAACTTTCATTCATACATTAGAGTTACTGCATCCATTATCCATATATATATAGGGGTGGACTCGGGCCGGGTGGCCCGACCCAGAACCGGCCCAGGACCGGTACTGTTCCGGCCCGACCCGACCCGGTGGCCCGGTCAGTGACCGGTCCGGGTAGGCCCGGCCCGTGGGTTTTCCGATCCGGGCTCGGGTCACCCAAAACAAGGCCCGACCCGGTCGGGCCCGGGCCCGGTTCGGGCCAAAACCTTTTTTTTTTCAATTTTTTTTAAATTTTCGGGTTGGGTTGGGTATTTTGGGCCATTTGGGGTGGTTTGGGGGGTTGGGGGTGGGAGGGGGGGTTAATTAGGAAGAGGAAAACAAAAAAAAAATTATAATGGGCCCGACCCAGCCCAGCCCGGTCTGGCCCGGACCCGGTGGTGACCCGGGCCGGTCCCGGCTCCACCATTTCTGAACCGCCGGCCCGCCCGGGCCTAGGCCCGACCCGGACCCGAGTCCACCCCTATATATATATATATATATATATATATATATATATATATATATATATATATATATATATATATATATATATATATATATATATATATATATATATATATCCACACACACACACACACACACATATATATATATATAGGTTTTGGTTCAAATAAGAATATGATCTTAGGAGAGAGATGAGAACGAATCTGGACCGTTAGATTTCCTTTAAGTGAAATTCAATGTGCATTAGATGAAACTGTAATGTGGATTAGATGAAGTTGAAATGTGCAACACAAAGCGTATGATACAATGTCATTAATTTAAGCTGAATTGTGCATTAGGTGAAATTGAAATGTGCACTAGGTGAAACTGAAATGTGCAGAATAAAAGGTACGATGTGATGTTATTTTTGTACATTTTATTCCGCACATTTAAGTTTCAGCTAATGCACAATTGAGTTTAAATTTTTATTCTGCATATTTCAGTATCATGCAATACACATTTCAGTTTCATCAAATGCACATTTCTGTTCCACATAATACAATCTAACGGTCCAGATTCGTTCTTATTTCTCTTCTGCGAGTCCGTTCTTACCGGAATCACTCCCTATATTATATATATATATATATATATATATATATATATATATATATATCAGTACTAAAAAACATTGGTATCGGCAGGGATTTTGGCTCGGATAAATTCCCCGCCAAATTTGGCTCGACATTTAGATCGGTTAACTAATATATATAAAGCGTATACATTTTGGCACAGATAAATCCGTTTCTACAGTTTGTCTCAGAAAATCTGAGTCAAAACACGATCTAAAACCACAAAAACCCCCAGAAATTTTGACTTCTAGAAAATTTGATCCAAATGCCGTTCGAAATTGGCACGGATACGAATACGATCCAACACCGTTTTGTATTTTCAGTGTTTGACTCAAATATATCGGAGCCAACAACATCCCAACCTAAATCCGTGCCAACTGGAACGGCCGTTTCCGGGCCAACATGAACATGTTACATTGATGAGGATCAGTGCCAATATCCGAGACAAAAGTATTGAGCCAACATCCGCGCCAAACTTTTTAATACAATTTTGTTTTTAGGCTTTTGGCTCAAACGGGTTCTCCATGCCAAAAGATGGCCGTTAGGATCATTCCGTGTCAAATTCCGAGCCAAAAAGTGACCATTGTGTATTCCGGGATAATTTTCAAACGGTGCGATCAAATGGATATTTTCGTGCCAAAATCCGTGAAAAAATAAGACCGTTTTGTATGCGGTTATATTTTCCGTTCCAAAATCCGAGCCAAAAAACACTATAACTCCTTGCACATTCCTAAGCAAAAATTTTTGACACGGATCCTATAATACGTGCCAACACGTTTGGATCGACCCAGGTGGCACGGAAATTCGTTCCAAGCTAAAATCGAGCCAAGAGCGATAGTCTGGAAATTTTAAGGGGTTATCCGAGCCAAAATCCCTGCCTATACCGAGGTTTTTTAGTAGTGTATACACAATTAAAAGATAAAATATCATCTTTTATTAGTTGTGGGACAAATCATAGATAATAATGTACCGGAGTAATAAAAATATAACTAAAAATAAACGGGGCAGATACGAGGTGGGTAATCAGGCGGGCATGTATAAAACCGTAACCGCCCCATTACCCGTAAATACAAAACTTGTATTCCCCGTCCCGTACTCGTTACCTGGTCAATGCGATTTCCCCTATTTTGACCGGGACAGTTCAATACGAGTATCCATCGGGATCAATCACAATTGCCATCTCTAGGTGCACCCAGCACTTTTGGAGGTGCGTTATACTTTATCTCTACTCCCGTAATTACAATTACAATAAATAAATGTAAAAGAGTGGTGATCTGAACAGGTAACAACTAATTGATCCTATTGTTGAGGCACATTCTCCCCCCCCTCTAACGGCTGCTTCCATCCTCTTCAAGTTTTCTTCTTTGATTTGTGTCCATTCTAGCGATCAGTCATCCCATTCAGGTGATTTTTTTCCCTTGACATATCTCAATAATTCTTATTTCATACTTTTCATTTACCCGGCCAGTTTCATGTTTCTTTTCTGTCGACATATGTTTCATAATGATTTTGATCGGCTTTTGTTAAATCTCACATGACATGTACATACATGGCCTGGATTCATAATGACTTGGTTCCTTTCCTAAAAATCGTTTCTTCTATAGAATAGGCATTTGATTACTCATTTCTTTGTTACTGTTTGATTCACGATATTTAATTCAAAAGATCTCAACATTTTGTACACATTCACGTTCCTTGTGAAATATGAGCATATATAGTTCAATTTCGTTTCGTTCCCTTTACTTGCATAATACATTTCATGGATGCATGACATGACCACTCAGGGACTGAATCGGCACAAAGAATAACTTTGGAAAAAATTTCAGATGATTTTTTTTACCTTAGGCAGTTTTTAAATTTGAGGTGAGTCTTGCCCCCTAGATCTGTCCATGGGATAGAGTCAATCCCATTTCCAGTAAGGTTAGAGGAAGAACCGGAACCGTAACAGGGTAAACCAATTTAAATTTTTTATTTTTTTTTTAAAATATGGAAATAAAAAATCAGAACCAAATTAAGTCAGGTCTGGTCCTATTTTTGAGAAAACGAAACAGTTTGCATAAGTTCCTGTCTGGAACTGAAAAAACAGGAGCTGGTTCAATCCCGTTTCTTTCCCGGTTCTGGTCCGGTTACGAACCAGAAGCTGGTCCACCCCTAGGCTGAGGCAGCAAGCTCACCTTGACACACAGACTGACAAGAGGAATTGGATCAACGTGGACACCACAAGGCCAGGTGGACCCACATTGATCCAACAATTCTCATGCACCAAAAACCTTGCTCGGTGTCGACGATGATGCATAGCCGCATAGGACTCAGATTCATTAGTTCATTACTATGATTGTTTTTCAATGTGGCGGGGTCATTGTCGTTTTGGATGTTAACATATTGTATATAAGGTTGTGCAGAAGCAGAACAGAAGTTGAAAGATTAAGCAAGAGGAAGAGACAAAAATGGGTGCTGGAAGGGTTCCCCATCTGGAGCTAGGAGGTCCATTGTTCTACAAGGAACTTGCCATGGGATTTACATTAGGTCTGGCTGCAGCCTATGCTTGGAAGGTCAAGCATCGGGAAATGCAGAAAAGAACAAAGGCTTTCTATGAGCAGCTCGACAGCGGTCACATCTCCGTGGTTGGAGAAGACTACTAAATTAAGTGAGCCATCTCTTATATATACCAAATAATTACAGCAGCAGCAACACCGCATGTCTGTCTTTCCCTTTCTATCCATCACGCCTCGTTTTACAAACACATTTTTTGGAAGTTTAGGCTTGCATTTCTAAGAATGGAATAAGCAAGCTTGGGGTTTGCTTAGAAGCTCAAATGAATAATTTATTGTATTTAAGGAATGCAATCACATTTGGTCTGTATTCTCTACAGTTGAAAACGAACTTTATTGATTTATTCTGTAACTTAACGAAGTACATAAAACGTTCCTTAATGGTGAAGATTCAATAATTATATTTGAGCCTCCTGACTAAAACAAAAAAGTACAACTCCGTCCCAAAAAACGAGTCATCTTCGAACACTAAAAACAATATCACAAATACAACTTCCTTTTCTGGGTTTGGATGGATGTAGCACAAAAGAAACTAAATCATAACATGGTCATAGCACCACAATGGTTCATAGACACTGGTGAAGGAACACAAATTTCTTTATGAGTTTGATCAAGGAGAAATGAGAATAAATAGTATTCTGTGGTATTTCGTATTACTAGAGTAATATATGCCACCTTCTTATAAAGGTATGTCTCATGTGAGACTGAATATATTTTCTGAAACCGTTATTTCTTAGGACAAAAGTTGAAGCTTCCATTCATGAAGCAACAACGAGAAAAGAAAAAAGAAACATAAATGGTGTCTGTACCAAATAATAAGGACCATGATACATTTCAAGGAAAGGTTATGAAATAGTTCAGGGAATTGTAAGACTATATCAAATTTACCTTTGAATTATGTTACCCTCATGTATTCACTTTGGGCCTCAGGGGTAAATCTGAGATATATTATCATTCCCTGAATCCTACCCTATCCATCTCTCTACATATATCATTTCCCAAATAATAATATACGACAACAGAGAGCAGCCTGCAGCCCTACAACGACAAATGTGCATTTATAACTCTTCACTGGCTGTTGACTCTTCGGAGGCCACTTCAGTGGGAGGAGTTTCATTGTTGTTGAAGTTTTCAAGAATTTTGGCTGCAGTCTTGTATACTTGTTTGATGACTTCAAATGAAGACGCTGCACCACTGGCTACACTTTCCTCCTCGGGGTCAGCAGCATATAATCGTTCAGGAGGAGGAGGTTCTTTCAGATGCAGAACCTCAAGAACGTACTCCATCCCATTCACCAAATCATAAAGCATAAGGCCAACCCTTCCCCCCACCCAACTGCCCAGTTCACTTCCAACAAAATACCCAATCCTTCCAAAGCTCGCCTCCCCAAGAAAACCAACATAATAGGTGCCAGACAGTGTACCCATGCTCCTTAGGACTGCTTCAGTCATCGTACCCCCCAAGTATATTGCTTCAAAAAAATCCCATCCTGATGAAATGATAGGGCCGACAATTCGATTCGCTTGTCGCTTTGCTAGTTTGGCAGCTTTTGCACCTTCTAACTGGATTTGCTTAGCTGTGATGGTTTTTGCTTGGGATATGGCATCAGCCAGAGCCTTTTCGATTGCTAAATTCTTAGCTTTCTCGATGTGTGCACTTCTTATATTGTAAAAGTACAGCTTTACACCCTCCTTAACAACACAAGCTAGGGTTCCAGTGCCCCCATCTAAGCAGTTCAAAATGTTAAAATCCCCACTTTTGGATGCTGCCTCTTTGCCAACCACTTCCCTACATTTTTCGGCTATGAAACAAGCAAACACCACAAGGAATTTATAAATGGCAATGAAGAGGGCAAGCAAATACGTGCAAAATAGGGTGTATGGTTGGAAGGTATACCTTTTCCCTTCCCTTGGTCATTCTTCCCCATTTACAGTTAGTTCTTATGTTTAGTGCAGTTTCTTCCTCAGTCAAATACACTGTTCTAAACGGCCCAGTCGGACAGATTAATCAGCCTAGTCAGCCAAAAAAATCGGCCTGGTCGGCCGCCTAGACGCTAAGCGCCCCTCAACTGCTCGACTAGCACCTAGCGAGTTTTAGAACAATGGTCAAATATGCGGACAAAAAGCCTAGCTGAACCTTAGTCCTTTTTACCCTTCTTTTTCCACGGACCCCAACCCTTCCTAATTTCCTATAACCAAAACTAGAAAACTCAAAATCTTTCTCTACTCCTCACGTATTATTCTCCACTCCATATTCCTTTCTTTCAACCAAAGTTTAGAAGGAGAACTAACACAATGTATATTTGCACTTTCTCTGTACAAACTAATGATAAGCAGACAAGCTTATCTAGAGAAGAAAAACAGCCTATGTTTCTTCTCTTGCACACCACTTCTGTGTTTCCAAAAACTTTCCTCCCCTGAAGACAATCACACACATTTAAGGACTTCCTTTATTTTTCATCATGATCATCTTGAGTGCAGTGGAAACTAAAAAATAAAAAAATAAAAGAACAAAAACAGAAAAAGCTAAAGTATAAGAAAAAAGCATGTTTACATTCAACTCTAACCTATTTGGCATCCAACTCAAGCCTCGTAAATTTCTAAAATTAGATAAAGCTCATTTTTATCCTAACATTGACAAAAAGTTGAAACCTTAAGTTTTAGGTAGATTTATGAAATCTACACAGGTGTAAGTCGAGGTACCAAATAATATAACACAGAGTAACACTCTCCCCCTCCCCTACTCCCTCCATTGAACCAAACAACCCTTAAGGTCTTAACAAAGAATGGTGTCCACCACACTGAGTTATTCATTTAATTATTGACATCAGATTATTTTTGGGCAGTATTAGCCAAACCAATCTTCTTCAAGTTATTTGTTGGCAAAAAATAGGACTCCAGTGCCAAACCACAAGTTTCTACCCTCCATATGAATCAAACCAATTTCTGCAATGCATGTTCTAAAATCATTTGAGGTGAAATATGCAAATTCTTATTCTACGTCCTATTACATTGCTGATCATTATAATAAGATAAACTCAGAACCACAAGACAGGCATTGAAATAATATCATTCTCTCCACCATTGTACAATGATAAGGGAAACTAATGATGGTCTAAAATCATTGGAAAATGAAAATGAAACCGTTCTTCAAACACCGAGTTTATGGCTAGGCCTTGCCCTGCTGGAAATTAAAACGAAAAATTAACTGAAGCAATAGGAAGTTTCTTAGGCCAGATGCTAAGTAGCATGGAAACGTGAAATGGAAAACGTGAAACACGAGTTTTTAAAAAATATAGGATACAAAACATGGTGGAAACACGTAAATATTAAAAATATGAGGATATATTTATAAAAAAGAAAAAGATTGGAAACTCAAAGTTTCCCAAGCTCTACTTATTTAGGTTCTTCGAAATCACAGAAACGATCCAGAAACAGGAACTAAAGTTTCTGATTTTCCTACAGGCTTCCAAGTTTCCGAAACAGGTAAAAAGATTTGAGCAGTTTCCGTGCTTGATAGGTAGATAAATTGGAAATGAATGAATTGCATTCCTCTCTTGATAAGAAGAATTCTGAAATCGATTCTACTCGTCTTCCACTAAAAATGTTAACGCGGCTCTATTCCAAGTCTCCTAGGTCGTATTTCTACTCATCGGTCATCACTAGAAACAACCAATACAGCCATTCTCTAAACCAGTGAAATTAACTCAGCAAATATTTATTCCATAAAGTCGAATACCCCTATTAAATGAATCCGTTTCGTTCGGGAAAACTTTATTTTAGAAGGAAAAAGCAGAGTTACCGGTGATGCTGAGAAGAGCGATGATGATGACGGCAAGGAGGAATTGAACCCTCTTCTTCTCAATCATTCTTAGCTTCAATTTACCACTAGAAATGAGATTCTAGTTTTCAATTATTAAAGGGTAGCGATTCGCTGGGTTGAAGTTATTCTTTACTAGAGAACACTCCATTGACAAGTCACAACTGTTTTATACGACGTTTTTAAGTGGTCGTCTAGTCTGTTTAGTTGGTGTGTTTTGGTAGGCCCTGAGGGTTTCGGAAGGTAGAAAAGAAAGTCGGTCATTTGTGTGTTTGTTTGAAAGAAATCCTCCACGTGAATGAACAAAACGTTATAATATAAAAAAGTAAAAAACTAAAAGTTGTGAAAAATTAAAAAATAAAAAAATTAAAAAATTTAAAGATTAAAAAATTAAAAATTAAAAAATTATAATTTTTTAAAAATAAAAAAATTTAAAAATTATAAATTAGATTTTTTAAAAATTAAAAATAAAAAATTTAAAAAATACAAATAAAAAAATTAAAAATTCCAAACGAGTAATATTCACAATAGTTAGACATGTATCTATTTTTTAAGTAAGCTATCAAATAATAGTAAATTGTGAAAATATTTTCATTAAACCTTTCCTCCTATTTCCTCCAACCAAACATAATTTTTTATCAAAACTCTTCCTTCCCCTTCCCTTCACTTCCCTCCTTGACTCTCCCCTTCCCCCCCCCCCCCCTCCTTTGAACCAAACAAGGTCGTAAAGTCGGGTGCCGCGGAGGTTTAATTTCTTTTTAGCTAAAACTATCCCAATATGAAGTTTCTTAGGTCAGATGCTATGTTGTTAAATCGAGCACCACTAAAATGAATTCGTCCATTTATAATCACACATTAGAGGGTTGGATAAAAATGAGGTATATTTTGGAGTACCTCCAGCAAAATTATTCTTTAACAGGTGCATTTACTATTTACCCAGCGCCTCACACCCTTATCCGATAAAATGGTTTTTGAGTAAGCTCTTTCATTGTCTGATGCGCAAAACATCACTTTAGATGAAACTCCCACATTGCCGTTGACGTGAATTGAACCTGAGACCTTAATCCAACAAACACACTCAACCACCGTTGAGCTACACGTGCGAGTAACATGTCTATTTACAATTGTCAAAATGTTGTGGTTTTATCGGTTCGATCAATTTAAGTCCGATATAACATGAGATTGCGCTATATTTTTGCTTGTTTATTTTTTTAATAAAAACTTGAAATGTTTCTTTTCTCTTTTCCAATTGAAAATTACTTTGTATGAATGTTACACTTCTTCATTTTTACACTTTTGGATGAGATTGATCATTTTTTGTCTATAATTCATTTGAAATGTTTCTTTTCTCTTTTCCAATTGAAAATTACTTTGTTACACTTCTTCATTTTTACACTTTTGGATGAAAACTTGATATATTGTCTATAATTCATTTTTTTGGTAAAATTTTTGTGGTACTAATTCATCCTTATTTTATTCTTGTTTTTCCAATTCAATTAGAACCAAATAAATCCACGTTTCTTAATAGGGGTAAGAGTTTGCACCCCATTTTACTATCCGAATTGGACTTTGCACCCCATTTTTAAAAATCTTTGTTTTTGCCCCAGCCTCATATAAAAGACAAAAATGTCCCTCAATCAAGAATATGTTGAAGGCCAACAAAATTGTTATTGGAGGGCATTTTTGTGTTTTCATATGGGGTTGAGGTGAAAAACAATTAAAAAAAAAACAGGGTGTAAAGTCTAATTTAGACAATAAAATAACGTGCAAACTCAAATTATTTCTTCTTAATAACCATATCGTCTGTCTCAACTATATTCCAACTATATTTTATTTATTAATGTATTGAAAATTCAAAATTCGAAAATATTGTTAAATTCTACTCCCTCGGTCCTTAATTAACTTTACACTTTCCTTTTTGGGTCGTCCCATATTAAACTTTACACTTCCCTGTTTGCCTTATTTGACAAACAAATCTACACCAAACAGTGCAAAACAGTGTCGAACAATGTCAAACAGTGCCAAACAATATCAAACAGTGTACTCTACAGTAAAGTCAAATTTATTTCCTTAAAATGTGTGAAGTCAAAGTGTAAACTTCATGAAGGACCGAGGGGGAGTATCATTTAAAATTTTTCAAATCGTGTGTTGGTATTTGGTAAAAATGCCCCATAATATATGGCATTTATTATTTGAAAATAATCATCCACAAAATCACAAATGGCTGCTCTGATCCTGCTGATAATAACGCTATATATCAACTATCAAGTTTATCAACCGTGTAGGCTCGCTCATAACAGGGTGATGATCTGAAACAACAATTTCAAAACTTGAACAAACCGGAAGAAGCCGCGTGAATGGGAAGAATTGGGAACCGTATCTGCCATGGCCGCTTCAGCAAACAGCCGGTAACATCACCATCATTATCATCACGAATTCCCACTTCCATATCCGCATTCTCGCTCGTCTGATTGATCACTTCATTCAAACACTTCAGCCTTTCACCCAACTCCAACTCCTGAGCTCTCAGAACACTGTTCTGGCCAGCTACAACCGCATACCTTTCGCTCATCTCGTCAATCTGAACCGCAATCTCACTGTTTGCCGCCTCTAATCTGCCAATTTCCGCCGTCACGTCTGCCACAAGCTTCTGCTTCTTCATCCTCGACCTCCTCGCTGCTTCCCGGTTCGAAATCATTCTCTTCCTTCTCTTTTCTTCTTCGATCCTCCCTTCGTCTTCTGAACAAGTGCTGCTCCCGCCCTTCCCTGTACCTGACATTTTCGATCTATATTTTTGAAGCACGGTTTTCGAAATTGTAACAAAGGATAGATGAAGACGAAGCTGTAATATCGAGAAATTGGAGCGGCATAAAGGTGAGTCTACAAGAATTTAACCGATTTAAGTAATCGATTGCGTTTTAATGCTTTGATCCAGATGGAGATTTTGAATTCTACCGAACTGAAAGAGGAAATCACGAAAAACTTTCAACTGTAATTGGATCAGACAAAGCGATTTGGATAAAGGCCCCGGAATTATTTAAACGATCCAGACGATGAAGAGAAGGTTACGTTACTCAACTTTCAATGTTGTATTTTTGGTAGTTTGATAGAGAGGAATGGATGTTCTTGATATAAGTCAATTGGTCCAATTTGGTTGGAAAATGAAATTGAACAGCTGTTTCGACTTCCTAATATGAATATTCAGTAGGTTTAAATATAATCTAATAGATAATCCTTATCCATTTAGATTGTACTGAACTAAACAACAGAGTTAGGTCCATGTTTATGCATAATTAAATACTTAGCTTATAGTTTGTCCATATGTATTTCTCACTAGCGTTGAGTTAGGGGAGGTTGAGAGATGTGTTGTCTAAATCACATTTGGAGTAATAAACATCCATCAAAATGTAATCCATTGTACCAAGAATATGAAAAGGAAAAATTGCTTTGTACACGTTTTGTATACACTCACCATTTTGCATATGTAAATAGACGATTCATCTAAAATAAACGCACAAATTTTAAGAATTGTCTTTGTCAGAAAGATGTACAAAAATGTGTACAAGCAAAACTCATCTAAAAAGGAAAACTTCTTAGGGCAATCCTCCATAAGTCAGCGAGTTCAAAATAAAAGTCAGTTGGTCAAAATCTTTTAGTCCTTCACCGCCTTATGGAGGATTATTTATGGATGCAGAACTGCCAACTCAAACAAGGTTTTCGACAGTGTTCATAAGTTATTGATGAGTTATATGATGACATGTGTGACGAAGGGAACATGTGATTCCATTGGAGCGTTCTTAAGAGGGGACATATTAGCGTTATAAGTATTTATTAAAAAAAGTTAGACAAATATCTCAATTCAAATTTAGCCAAAACCCAAGAATGACGGCCAAAAATTAAATAATAAAAGTCACAAATACAAAGAGGTAAACATGACACTTCTTGGTCAAATACAGAGGTTTAATATGAAAAAAGTACGCAGTAAATCTTTGTGTGACCATCAAAACCGGTGCCGGAATTGTCCCAACCTAGGTCAGACATACCCAAATCAGTCCCGAAATTAGTATCCCATAATTGTTCAGGAGGGCTTGCCCAAGTCAAGTGTCAGACCCACTCACCCACCTTTAAACCAGCGCGAGTAGGCCCCACATGGCATCAAGGTTGTCAATGTGTGCAAATATCAGTAATACTTGTAAAAGAGAAACATACACCCATATACTACCTTCCTCCCCTAATATTGAGAAAGAGGAGGGTACCCGCACGGGTAGCTTAGTTGGTTCAGTGGTGGGAAATTTGGACCAAGTGACCAATGTTCGAAACCCGCAGCGGCCGTGTGGAGGTCACAGAACCTGAAATAAGGCTGGACCTCTGGTGCGCACGAGAAAAAAGGCCTACCATCATTGGGCCGATTGAGTCACCGTGATTAACATCCTCCCAAAAATCCTGTCGGGTCGGGGTATGGGGGGCTCCTGGGGTGGGAGATTCCACCTTTTGGACCAAGAGAAAGAGGAGGGTGATGTGTTTTTTAAGAAAAGTAGAATTATATGATTGATAATGAGTTGAATGAGAATAAAGTAAGAATGAATTAGAGCCACACAAATGTTACCAAATACTACGTATGATACTCCCTCTGTCCCATTCGACTTTACTAACTTTCCTTTTTTTGATTGTTCCAAAAAACTTTGCCGCTTCCTATTAAAGCAACTAATCTGTGGTTCTGCACATTTCTCTCTCCTTTGTACAAATCTCAATCACAAAGTAATTACTTTTCTTATTCCTCACCTACTTTGCACTCGGTAAAGTCCACCGAGATGGAGGGAATATGAGACAATTATAGTGGGACATACAAAAATAAAAATAAATGGAAGAATTATAAAGGCATATGGAATATAATCGATCATATGATTTCATATTGACCAAAAAAACCCGGATACATTTAACTAATACTTTAGCCACTAATTCATAAGCAAAGTTCAAGTGTCCAACATTGTAAAAAGGTACCGGTGCAAGAAACATGCACACGGCACGAAGAAATAAAATGATCAGAGGCAAAAATACAGACCAAACTAGAAAAAGGGAGCATAACATGCAATTCGTAAGCAAAGTTTAAAAGAGAAATAACGTAACATTGCATTGAAAACAAACAAATTGAAACAAAGTCTAATGACCCTTTTTCCCCACTTTGTTCTTCACAACAATTTGACTGGCA